CTAGTATATATACATGGCCGTGGCTGCTGAAGTCCGTTGTGTGCCTGCAGCGGGGATCCTGTCTGCTCCTTCCCTTTCTGCTATGAAAAATCCTTATTAAGAGATGCTTGGGCACTGGCTGAGAGAACTGGGGCATCCATGTGGAGATACTGGGACTCAAAGACCCTATTAACTCAGACTTTCCCATAACCTCAGCTGACCTCATGGAGGACCTAGAGCACTTGGATCCTGACCCCAGACCAAATGCCACTGTCAGGAATCTATGAGGGAAACTTAATAGGATTGTCCTCATTCCACCATTAAGTGCCCACTGGTAGGTTGTTCTGTTGAAGAGACAACAGGACCCACTGAGAGGCTATTTTTCCATGAGGTTAAGTTCAGCTTAATGGTGACAACTGTGGTGGGTGGCTATTGAACCAAGAGTGTCAAAGCCAACATCTAAAATGACCTTTTAGGCTGTTTACTCAAAGCAGTAACAGACTCGCCCCCGGCTTCCTGATAGGGGACATCTCTTATCAAGAAATAAGAAGAGCAAGTGTCTAGATATGGAAATGATTGTGGGAGTGAGCCTAATTGAAAACATACAGCATTGTACAGAAATAATATTAATACATTGGTAACCTTTACCTCTTCTGTGCAGTATGTATGTAGAAACTACGCCACAAGAATTACCAGGAATGAGGAAAAAGAAATATTAAAAAAAGAAAAAAACCCAACTCATTCCAAAACAAGTAGAAAGCCTTTTATTGGACAAGCAGATGTGTATAATTGAACTCAGATATCTCCCTAAAGCTGTGCTGCATGCCCTACGATCCATTTCCCCACCTATGCAGTAAAGTCTCAGGTCAATCAGTGATTTTCATCTTAAGTAAAACTTTTTAGAAAAGTCTAAAGTAAGCTAAGTGAATCACATTAAGTAGATGCTAAAAATTCGGTAAGCTCTTAACTTAGTAGCTAGGTATGCAGAAAGCTTAAGTGCCTAGGAGAAGTCTGTGAGACTGGCTTGCACTCTAATTTAGAAAGCTAACTTAGCTTCTTTAAAAAAAAAAAAAAAGTTTCTCCATGATCATAGGACAAATATATACTTTAGTACATGCTTTAAGTATGCTTCAAAAAGTACTCGGAATTTTAATGGATTTACCTGAATAAGCTGTATAGTAGCACTTCACAGTCTCAAACTTGTATTTAGCTGCTTAGCTGCTTTTGTTAAAGAGGTTGTTTTTCTTTTAATTAATTTGTCAGTTCATTTGGGTCAAAATAGCAGCACTATCTAAACCTTTTTTTTGTACCTGCTAGAAAATTTCCAGACTGGCTAGCATGAAGGTTTTCATCCTGGAAGGTTTTAGTAAGATCCCTCTCTGCTGGGTACATATGTCACATAGGTAAGGAGCGAAACTGAAAGTTTCAGATGCGAAACAGCACCTACTGATAGGGCTGTTGCAACTTTTTTTTTTTTCGAAAGGGAAAGAAATACCATCTTTTGGCAGTGTTTATTCTCTACCCTCAGAGACACGCTGTTCTGCCATGTAGATCTGTGCTATGGTTGCAAAATGTTTAAACAGAACTAAGAATTTCTAAACAATTTCCTTTGCAAAGCAGTCACTTGGAGTGAAAAAGGTCATTTTGGTGAAAATCCGATTTTTCACTCGGATCAGTTCTCTTCGGCACCCCCTCTCAGAATCTGTTATGTTCACGGCATTCCAAAACAGCCTTGCTGTCTGTCAGGAACGGGTTTTTTTTAGGAACAGGTTTCTCAGCCCAGCTGTGCCCTATTTCAGCCGCACCAGTCGTGGGTGCCTCTGTCTGCTCAGGGTGAACCCAGCCCTCCCCAGCACCCTCAGGAATGCGAGTTTCTGAAGCGCCTGGTGTCTGCTGGGTACAGATGCCTTTACCTACTACAGCAGAAAGCAAGCACCTTGCAGCACAGCGGCAGCACTGAGTGCTTCAAAGGGAGAAGCGTGTGCCCTGCTCTCCCTTTAAAATGTGCCCTCTTTTGCATATTAGGTTGGTGCTTGTGTGCTCTGCTAGGAGGAGGGAGGTCCACACTCGCACTCCTCCTGACAAGGTCCAAATCCATACTCCCTCCCCGCCCGGTAAAATATACGAAGAGTCCTCGGATGAAGGATTCACCTCTTCCAGATGTGTGTCCTAATGTCCTAATCACCGGGCTGAAGGTTCAGGCCTTTTAAGACCAGAGCCTGAATTTGTGCTGCCCAGTTTCAGCATTAAGAGGGGAGTCCTTCTTCCACAGCTCTGTGGTTAAGGCACCTTTTGAGGAGGTGCGAGACATGGGTTTGAGCTGATGAATGCCTGTCTTCTGCTTCCTTTCGTGAGCATCCTATTTGTTAGACTGTGGTAGAAGAAGCAGACAGTGTTCCAACTATCAAATCGTTTACTCAGCTTGGGTTTTAAAAGCAAGTGACCACTGCCAGGCTGGAGAGCCCTAGCAGCGGGGGACCAGTGTGCTCACCCCTGTCCTGCTGCTCCTGGGGGAGGCAGCCAGCTTTTCTGGATACGGGTTTCAGCCTGGCTGAGAGTTAGGTCAAGTCCCTGAGGCTAGAGGTATCCTGGGCACACAGAGGGATACAGACTCAAATGGGGAGGTGGTGAGAGGGCATGAGCATTGCAGGCTTTGGTGGATAAGTCTGTTTTAACCATAGTTCTGGACTTAATTTCCTCCAAATACTGATCTGTGAATGTGATGTGTCACTCACTGTCAGAGCTTTGGAGTATTTTGTCATGAGACTGCTAATCTGTTTGATAGACACCACATTTGCCAGTCAGTGGTACAGATTTACCCATCATTACTGAATTCGAATTTAAGTGAATGAGATTTTGCTCATGGTTAAAGGTTTGGGGGTTTTCTTTTTCTGATGTATTTAAGTATGTTGCTGGACTGGGACTTTTAACAGTGCTATTTTGTCTCCTCAAGTCTCCTTCAAGATAAAGTTTTCTTGTATTCTGAAATGATGTGGCAGAAGGCAGAAAATAATCTTGTGACTCATTAGGAAATAAACAGAGGCATAATTGCCATCTGTGTTTCAGTCCGTTCAATCTTTTCTCTCTCCAGTCATGGAAAAAAGTTCATGAAAAAGTTGAGAACTGGTTTTGTGATATTTTTGAGAGAAGTTGGTTTAAAAAATTACAGAAAAGAAAGGAAAAAAACCCAATACTGGCTCTATACATTATCTTAGACAAAATGGATTGAATTTCTGACACCCTACTCATCAAATTCTGACCTTGATTTGACCCCATGGGCTTTTTACTGTTTGATGTTCTCAACGATTTGGTGCCACTTTTCCTTTGTAGTGCAGTTAATTTTGAGTGTTAGATAGAGATCAATAGTCATAGCTTGAAATTGGCACCTTTGGAGAAAAAATGGGTTGTGTGGCAGTAACACAGATTTGATAGTACTTCAGTTAAGAAAATGGTGTACTCTTTCATTATTGTTTTCAATGACAGTATCCAGAGTGTTATTTCATTCTCCTACCAAGATTCTGACAGTCTCCTGTAATATCTTATCTATCAAAGAGTTTTCATTCCTCTCCTTTCATGCTTGGCTTCTGGAGTGGAACTTTATTTAAAAGGTCCCTGAAATTAGAAAGAATGACCGTGGCACTTCTGCTATCAAGCTGGCCAGTAAGGAATAAACCGCCTTACTTCTAGGCTTGCTTCTGGCCTTCTGCTTGCCCATAGCAAAATCTTGTTCAATGTGCTGGTCATACAATGAACGCTGTCAGGAGGAAATAGGTGGGCTGTTGGATAGGGTCTAATAGCTAGGTTTTGCATATTGGTGTAAAAAGGACTGCTGGGAATGCCACTCCTGCCTTTGTCCCTATGCAAGTGCACTATGCTCTGCTTTTGACCCATTGCTGCATTGAGGGAATGGCGTCGGCGTGCAGGGGATGGCTGTTCCTGCACCGCTGCTCGGGAGCGCCAGGCTGGCGCCAAGGCAGTCTGTAAGGCATGGGATTTGCCAGAAACGTGCTGCTTTCCATGGGCTCCCACCTGAGGACGGAGGTGCTGCCCTGGCACTGCGGTGCTGTGGAGCTGTTCCCGAGGCTTACGGCAAAGCAAGCGCTGAACGCTTGGGAGAGTTTTGAGTATGCACTGAAATCTGGCTGCCAGTGCAAGTGAGCCCTTCCTCCTGTGTAACTTTGGACCTCGTGACTAGTTTCATCCACATTTGACAGATGCTTAGAGGTCAGAAAGGTGTTTCTGACCAAATTCCATGAAATTAGGAGACTGGGTACAGGAAAGGAAATGCTTATAGGCCCAGGACGGGGGAGGCTGTGGAGAGAGGCTCTTGGGGGAGAGATGTCCTGACAGCCTCAGCCGCAGGGAAATGCTAGCTGTGGCTTATGTCTTCATAGCAAGGAATCCTGCCTCTGGGCACAGATGAATAAGGAGCCTGGCTGCAGTGGTCTGCTGCTTGTGGAGCTCTCTGGTTCATTTTCATGTATTTCCTAGGAAAATCATGGACATCAGTCGAACAGGAACATGAAGAGAGCTGTAACATGATTTTCAACCCTTCTCTAGACAGTCTTGCCAGGCAGTCCAGGCCGGGTGTACCTCAGTATAACCTTGTGAGCTGTGGTTCACCTGCACCAGTGGTTCTGGTTTGGTTTCCATGGCTTACCTGTGCCTGCAAAGTGAACAGTAGTACAGGCGCTCCCAGTACCTCTGTTCCACCAGCTACTTGAAAATATTCCCCTGAGTCCCCAAAAGAAGTTTCCTTTAAAGACCAAGTAATTTGTTTGTCAGGTACCTTCTAAAGAGCTTTTAAAAAGCCAGATGTTAATGATTTCAGCTCAGCAAAGACTTCTGTTTCTCTTATAACTTGGAACCAATGACAAAAAGTGCCTGGATGTGTTTTTGATTGGTGATGATGATAAAGCGGAGAAGTGTGGAGTTGTTTGGAGAGTTATTCTCCTGTGCAGTAATTAGCCAGTTGGGTTACCATGATGTTATCCAGACAATTGTTCTTTTTATACCACCAGCCTGATGACTGCTGCCCAGGAGCAGAGCAAGCTTCTTCCCCTCTGGGAAACGATCTGCACAGACTTAGTGACGGGATATTCTGGTCAGAGGAAATCGTACCACAGGAAGTCTCACCAGTGACCACTATCAGTCGTGGCACGTGCAGGTATTCTTGCTGAACAATTCACTTAGGTTATTGTGTCTCTGGCCAGATTTAAATGGCAGATGCAGGGAGATTTGTCTACTGCATCATGTGATGTGCTGTATGTGCTGTTGCTGATGGTGGCAGCAGCAGAGCAGGAGAGGCTTATGTGCTGTAGGCTTCCCTGGCTCACTCGGGGCAACCGCAGTAATCTTTCCAGTGCTATCTTCAATACTTCCTTGTGTTACTGCCGTTATTCCACTCACTGGTGTTTGTGATTCTGGGAAACAAATGCCTTTATTAAAAAAGACCAAGAACATAATCATTTGATACAACTTATTGAGACGTGTTTCACAAGTAATCCAAAAGGATTTCAAGAGTCCCTCCCTTTAGGAGGGTTCAGTTCACTACAGCAGCTGGAAATGAAGGAAGAGTGTTATCAAGCAAGTCCTTTCTGGAGCACAGGCCTTTTTTTTTACTCTCATTTTTCAGTAAGAAATATCAGTTTTTGCCTTTCACCCTCCACAGTGTCTTCAGGCTCTTTACTTGAGAAGCAAATACAGGTGTACCATGTTGCTTTTCATGATGAAGTGGGGTCATCTTCTGTAATGAGGACAGGCCTCTGAAAGTGGTATAATATTTTCCGTTCTTTCTTTCCTATTCAATCTCTGGAGAGCACGTGCAGATAAAATGGGAAAGAAATATTCTTCCTTGTCACTGTCTTGGATCTGGCATACGATACTTCCTGGTTCTTTAGGGGAGGAGCAATGGCAGACCGATAGGAGAAAGACTCCGAGAAAGGATGTTGTAGACAGACCTTGTTCTAGGGATCTTCATGCTTTCATTTTCTGTCTGACTCAGGTCTGGAAGTGCTTCATGCACTGCTTTCCTGATATTTATTGCCTCCTGAAGTTGCATTTAGCTTACTTTTCTATAGGCCTGTGTTCTTCTAGCCACAAGCCCCACTCTGCTGTCCGTAAGGCATGGGCCTGTCAAAGCCAAATTCTCTGGACATGTGTGACCTGTATTTAATCTGCAGTTGCCTTGGAGCAGTTTTCCCTGAGGGGAACCCTGGGGGTGCTCCAAGATATCAACTTCTCTAATGTGTGGCTGGTGTGCATACATCATCTTATGTATAGAAGCACATATATATGCCCCACTCCAAAGTGGTTACTGAAAGCAAGTTCCCTTCAAGGGCATGTCTTGGCTGTAGACTCCTTATTGTGTAATCAATGAGTTCATGGTAAACATAAATTCTTCTCTTAGAGACAAAGCCTCAGTGGTGCTGAGTACCAGCAATTCCTATTAGCTTCAGTGCTGAGTGTCCTGGTTATATCTGACAGACTCTGGCCCCAGGCTTTACTTCTGGAAAGGAGGGTGGTGCTTTAATTCCCCGCTCTGGAGCCAGCTGTTCCTACCTAGCAGGTCCAGCTGCATTTGGATACATGTTGTTCTGCTTAGCTGGAGTTTGTTACTAGTGGAATAAAGTTACCATACTGCTTTAAATCCAATTTAACAGCAGGAGCAAAGATTTAGTGAAAACAAAACCTTAATAAAACTTAGTTTATCTTAACTATGATTTTTACCATCCTCAGAAAGTCGCTTAGGTAAGCCAGCTTCTTCATTTACCCGGAGTGCATGCCTGTGACTCATCTTGGGTCCCTGCACAGTTGCCTTCCCTCCCGAGTTCAGTTTTAAACTTTAAACAGCGTTCTGGCCTTGTCTCCCAAAAGCTGTGAGGTGTGCTTTGAGAAGTAGTTTCACTGTAGCTGCTTTTGCCCCTCTTGTTTGTGCTTCCCACAAGCCCCTGACCGATACATTTCAGTGCTGGGCTGCTGTATGTTACTTGCGAGTTATTTGAGGGCAGCTCCAAAGCTGCGCCAGGAACTTTTCTTGGGTTATGGCACTGGCTGTCCGGAGAGGTGTTTAGGAACATGCTTGACCATGTGTTTAGATGACGCCATTGATTGCTGAGCATATACACTTATGAGTAAGTCTCCCTTTAAAAATGTCTCTCTCAGTCAGGACTGGAGCGCTTAGTTCTGCAGGTTGCCGTTCACCAGTGAAGGCTGGATTTGGTCACTGGGTTCAGCGGGAGCAAGACCAAGCCTCAGACCACAGAAGGGGTGAGTGAAAGAGTAAGCACTGGAAGACTTTGCAGATAAGGTTTGATTGTCTTGCTGAATCTGGGGAGGTGTAAGGCACTGTTCTGGGACAGGATCTTCAAGAGATCCCTGGCATGCTGCTAGTTACATAAAATTGCTATTAATAGTGAATTATTCTTAGATGGGAAGCTGACATATTTTAGAAGTGTCAAATGATAATGATATGGTAGTTGGTCTATGTAACATACATTTGCAGCCTGGATTGTTAGGCAGTTCTAGTTTTGCTAAAAATTTCAGGTACGCCTTACTGTAACTTCTAGTGTAGGCAAAATACCCACTGGTACTTAAACAACTGAATTTGAACAGGAACTGTAAATTCAAAAGAAATGCCTGATTTGTTTTATTACTAGGGATCACATATGTGCTGAAGGAAGTTGGTCCAGTTCATTAGAGCCAGATGTAAAAAATGCCTCCAGCTAGCTCCATCCCCTGCAAACTGCCTTCTGTGAGCGCCATTCCTCCCTGCCACCTTGTCTCCTGGGAGGCCTCCCACCTCTACCTGGCTGGTGGGTGACTGCACTTCCTCCCACCTTTATGGGTTTTTACCTCAAAATACCCACCCCCTCTGTAGCTGAGGTCAGAGCGCCCACGTCTATCTAAAACGTTAGCATTATTTGCCTGGTATACGCTCATATTAGTGTACTATTGTTGCATTCTGTGTGTGACTGTGTACAGAAAGGAGTGCCTGAGTATTTGTGAATCTGGAAGGGACCGTTTTTATATGCACGTAACTGGTATGTGGGGCATGAGTAAGAGTGGATAAGCAGTTTTATGGAGTGAGAACAGTATACTGGGAAGCTCCATGGTGCCTGTGATATTTTATCTGAGCTGTTTTGGTCCTGGGCTGAGTTTGTCTGTATTGTGGTGATATCAAAGTCTCGCTATAATGTCCTGGAGCCGATTGTAGCAATGGGATAAAAGAATGGGTTGTGAGAAGGAGGGGAAGATGCTGGATTTCAGTGCTTTTAGAAATAATAAAATGTCTATTCTGAAGTATGTTTAGCAAGGCACAAAGAAATAAATAGTCTACGTGTTTGCTTAGTGTTTTTCCAAGCTAAGTTCTTTTATTAAGATGTCAAAGGTGAAATCTTGGCCATCTTGAAGTCAGTGGGAACTCTGCCTTTGCCTCTCTTGGGTCAGGATTTCTCCGTTAGGTCTGTGTCTGTTGTACTTGGCAAATCACCAGAAACCCCATCCCAGCTAAGGCAGGAGAACAGAGAGGAAGGAACGTCTGAGCCATACTTTCTAAACAAAACAGAGTGCCCCCCGGTGGCCTCAGAGGCAGATGTAGTACGTGCCCACCCTCAGCCCATCCCCACACCAAGGGTCTCCTGAACAAGGCGGTGAAAAGAGCCAATGGGAAATCCAGCTGCTCGAAAGCAAAGCTCTGAGATGGTAAGGGAGGATTCATGGCAGACTAAGGGTAGAGCTGGGAGCGGACCCTTTTGGTCCTGGCCATTGCTCTATGTGCAAGGAATTTAGGTAGTGTTATATGTGAGTAAAATTACGCTGAGGTAAATGCATCCCAAAGGAAATCAACCTCTGCTCCAGTACCCTAACAAACAGCCAAATCAGAAAAAACCCTCGAGGGCCCAGCAAACTTGCTTGTGGTGTGTATTACAGCCTAGAAATACTCCAAGCTTAAGTGACAAATGTTTGGAACTGGAGTATTTGAAATGATGCCATACATCATTTCTGAACACCACAAACCTGGACCAGTCTGACAACATGCTGCTTCAGAGCTCTGTCTTGGGCTAGGAATTTCTATACCAAGCTTTAGCCTAAGAGCAGTTACAAGAGCCCAAATTCTGAATCTCTCAAAGATCTTAAAAAGATACTACTGATCTCCAAACGATGGCCTCTTCACATGTTACCACTGAAACTTTCTAGAAGTAGTGCAAACCATGTGGGAGCAATTAATCCTTGGAGTAACCCCATTTACTCCAGCAGTTTGGCCCTGAGGGAGCAGGCGCAGTGGATGTCTGACAGCAGCCCAAGTATCAGTATTTCTCTCCTTGTTCATTTGCCTGCTTGCTGTGGTGGATTTCATGCCATTATAAGCTGTTTATGTACAGCCTGATCAAAGTACTTGATGACAGGGTTAATTTCTACGTATAATGAGGAAGTCAAGACAGGAGACAGGTACTGTGTAATCAAATTTTTCCTTTTGGAATTTGTTTCTTCTCATGTAGGGTTTAGCTTTGATTTTTATTACCATTAACATCTGCGTTTGCTGTTCCTTCTAGTCTCTCAGAAGAGCTAAAGCTACTGTGGAAATAGCGGAGGCATTGAATTGCTCCAGCAGTTTACATAAAGGTATGATGATAAAGTAAAAAGAGTCTATAACTTCTCTGTAACAAGAGCTCAAAATGCAGTTTATTTTGGGGGATGCTTCTTCATAAAATTACACTGCTTAAATAGTCCACTGCGACATCTAATCCCCTTCTTTTATGACTCAGTAGGTGTATGCACAGGCATGGAAGCTTATGTATGTGTATGCATAGATATAAAAAGAGACAAAGACCATGCAAAATCTGGTAGTTTTGTATTGCTGTATGTCTTCAGCAAGACTTTGCAGACAGATGAATCCCCACAGCATCCTTGTGAAAGAGTGGATGGTGAAAAAGAGGTTAATGGTCCACCTTTCCCACATGATGGAAATGAGACAGGGAGAGTAAGATCTACATTTGCCCTGCTCATTTTGAATGCCTTCATTTTTTAGATGCATGGAACACTGTAAATATTACTGGACATTGAAAAATCTAGGGGAGCAAAAGTGCTAGAGGCCATAGAAAACATGGCTCTCACTGAGCTAGCCAGGAACTGAGCTGGCAGTGGAGACAAAATTAAACCTGGGCG